CGCCAACAACAAATTGTGGAGCACCTTGCCACCCGCCAGGGCAATACTGAGCAGGAACTCGCTGCCTTCCATGCCGCTGGCGCCCAAAGCATTCCGCTACCAGACCCCCGTGCCCAGGCAACAAAAATACTGCCAAAGCTCACTCCTTACGATGACGTGGAAGCTTTTCTGCAAATGTTTGAAAACACAGCCCATCGTGAAGGATGGCCACCCGAGGACTGGGCTCAGGTGTTGGCCCCCCTGTTAACCGGCGAGGCCCAACGTGCTTACTTCTCTCTCCCTACGGCCTCAGCAGAGAGGTATTCAGATGTAAAGAGAGAAATCCTGAGCCGGTTGGGATTGTCCTCAATCTGTGCAGCCCAGGGTTTCTTCGAATGGGAGTATAAACCCCGAGCACCAGCCCGTGCCCAGATAGCAGAACTCACACGATTGGCACACCACTGGTTGTTGGAGGGCAGTCCCACAGCGGAACAGGTAGCGGAACGTGTGATCGTGGATCGCGTGCTTCGAGCTCTCCCTCGCTCACACCGACGGGCGGTCGGTATGAGGAACCCCATAACCTCCCTGGACCTGGTGGAGGCCATCGAATTGGCGGATGCAACCCAACAACGGGATGGAGGGGAGCGGATGGTGCCGTTCCCCCGGAGGGTGGTCCAGGAGCGACGCACACCAGAGGGTCCCTCACGATCAGTCAACAGGCCAGCAGCACCCTCTCCACGAGATGAGCCTATGCCATCTGCGGATCCCCCGCAGCCTGGGCGAGGATGGTTGGCAGGCTGTATTGTTCACAGTGACCCACCATATGGAACTCCTGAGGCCGACATCAAGGTCAATGGAAAACCGCTTCGGGCCCTTCTTGACTCAGGCAGTGCAGTAAGTCTGGTTCAAACTCATCTCCTACCCCCACGGAGAAACACAAAAACATTCCTTCCCATCACCTGTGTCCATGGGGACACCCGACAAGTTCCGGCTCGACGGGTGACAATCTCTGCAGCCCCGGGGGCTTGGTCTATCGAGGTGGGACTTGTGGAGGACCTCCCGGTCCCAGCCCTTATAGGAAGAGACTGGCCGGGGTTTGACCGCCTGCTTGCGACCACAATGCAGCCTGCCAGCCTTCAAGTAAGCCGCCGAAGAAGGAGAGCCAGCCGAGGACCTCATCAGCGGCCTGCACTGGTAGCCACAGACAGCGGGAGAGACGGTAAGCCCCCTCCCCAATCTTCTAATCTGTTCTATGATGTGTTCCAGCAAGTAACGGGAGGGAGCTCCTTTGCTAAGGAACAACGGGATGATGACCGGCTGAAACATTGTTGGACCCAGGTGCGTGTCATTGAGGGCCAAAGACACTCAACCATCACCCCATCCTCTCCCGCACTTTGTAGTTCAAAATGGCCTGTTGTACTGCGTCGCACAGCGAAGGGGGGAGGTGAAACAGCTACTTGTGGTGCCCCGTGCCAAGACAGAAACTGTGATGGACCTGGCTCACTCCCACCCGATGGCCGGTCACCTTGGAGTTGAGAACACCACACAGCGGATCCGGGATCGCTTCCACTGGCCGGGTCTGGAAGCTGATATAAAACGATTCTGTCAAGCCTGCCCCACCTGCCAGGTGACCTCGCCCAGAAAGCCTCCCCCTAGCCCGCTGATCCCATTACCCATTATTGAGGTGCCCTTTGAGCGAATCGGGATGGACCTGGTTGGGCCGTTGCCAAAGTCGGCCCGGGGACATGAGCATATTCTGGTGATCGTTGATTATGCCACCCGGTATCCAGAAGCAATCCCCCTCAGGAAAGCCACTTCTAAAGCCATTGCCCAGGAGCTCTTCCTCCTGTCAAGCCGGGTCGGTATCCCAGCAGAGATATTGACTGACCAGGGTACCCCCTTTATGTCTCGGTTAATGGCTGACCTCTGCCGACTACTGCAGGTGAAGCAGTTAAGGACCACAGTGTACCACCCACAGACAGATGGGTTGGTCGAACGATTCAACCAAACGCTAAAACAAATGCTAAGGAAAGTAGTGGCTGAAGACAAACGTGACTGGGACCTCATGCTGCCCTATGTCCTCTTCGGCATACGAGAAGTGCCCCAGTCCTCAACTGGCTTCACTCCCTTCGAACTCCTTTTTGGCCGTCAGCCCCGGGGCCTTCTAGATGTGGCTAAGGAAGCCTGGGAGCAGCAGCCGGCAGCGCATCGGTCCATAGTTGAGCATGTGAGACAGATGAGGGAGAAGATCGACCGGGTCATGCCGTTAGTCCGTGAGCATCTGGTCAAAGCCCAACAAGCCCAACAGCGCCACTATGACCGGGCAGCCCAACCACGGGAGTTCCAGCCCGGAGATCGAGTGATGGTCCTGATCCCGAATGCCGCCTGCAAGTTTCTTGCCACCTGGCAAGGCCCCTTCACCATTCTGGAAAAAATTGGGCCAGTCACATATCGGGTGAGGCAACCTGGAAAAAGAAGAGCTGACCAACTGTATCACATCAATCTTCTAAAAAAATGGGTGGGTACCAGGGACCAACTCGCAGCCCTCGCCACCTCCGATCCCGTGGTTGTAGATGTCAACCCTCACCTCTCGGCTATCCAAAAGGGAGAGCTCCATCACCTGGTCAGTCAGTTCTCTGATGTGTTTTCAGTACTCCCGGGTTGGACGAACATCATCAAGCATGATATCCACACTCCAGTTGGCAACATCATTCGACAACGGCCTTACCGGGTCCCTGAAGCTCGTCGGCAGGCTATTGAGGAGGAAGTAAAACAAATGCTGAAGTTAGGGGTGATTGAGCCGTCACGCAGTCCATGGTCCAGCCCAATCGTAATGGTACCAAAGTCTGACGGCACTCTCCGCTTCTGCAATGACTTCCGAAGGCTCAATGAGATCTCAGAGTTTGACGGATATCCCATGCCTCGGGTGGATGAGCTGCTGGATCGCCTGGGAAGGGCCCGGTACATCTCAACTCTGGACCTAACCAAAGGTTATTGGCAAGTACCCCTATCTGAGGAAGCCAAAGCCAAGACCGCCTTCTCTACCCCTAGTGGCCACTGGCAATACCGGACCCTTCCCTTCGGCCTGCATGGAGCTCCCGCCACCTTCCAGCGGCTCATGGATATTGTCCTTCGCCCTCACCAAGCCTACGCTGCCGCATACCTAGATGATGTTGTCATTCATTCTGAGACATGGGAAGACCATCTAGATCGCCTGCGGAGAGTGCTGTCGGAACTCAGAAGGGCTGGACTCACCGCCAACCCCCGCAAATGCCACCTTGCGCTCCATGAAGCCAAATATCTGGGTTTTCAGGTGGGACGAGGGCTAATCCAGCCCCAGGAAAAGAAGGTGGAAGCAATTCGTAATGCACCAAAGCCGGAAACAAAAACCCAGGTACGAGCCTTTTTGGGGTTGGCGGGATATTATCGATGCTTCATACCTAACTTTGCCTCTCTAGCCGCCCCCCTTTCAGACCTGACCAGGAAGGGGCAGCCTGAGAAGATCTGTTGGACGACTGCTGCAGAAGAGGCACTACACAAAGTAAAAATGGCACTGACATCTGAGCCAGTTCTTCGGGCCCCGGACTTCGCCTGCCCCTTCCTGCTGCAAACTGATGCTTCTGACACAGGACTAGGAGCAGTCCTGTCCCAGATACAGGAAGGTGAGGAACACCCAATCTTGTATATTAGCAGGAAGCTGCTCCCAGCCGAGAAGAACTACGCAACAGTGGAGAAAGAAGCTCTGGCCATAAAATGGGCAGTTCTGGAGCTGCGATATTACCTCCTGGGCCGCAGCTTTACCCTTGTCACTGACCACGCTCCCCTACAATGGATGGCCCGGGCCAAAGATACTAACGCCAGGGTGACTCGGTGGTTCCTCGCTCTCCAGGACTTCCATTTTGTGGTACGTCATCGGGCCGGAGCCGCTAACGCCAATGCAGATGGCCTCTCTCGGGTCTGGGCAGCTTTTGCAGGTCTGTCAGGGGTCATTCCCCTCCCAACCCCTAAATTACCCCTACTGGCTCACATCACCCCTCGGACCAGGACGACGCTTAGGGGGGGGGAATGTGACGAGCGTCCCAAAGGATCATCAGCGTCGCCCAGGAAACTAAGGAGAAACACCTGCAAGCCCTCAACTCAGACTGATCGGCCCCAGCTGCAGCCCATCAGCCGGCTTGCATTTAAACTGCAGCAACACAGCAGAACGGGGAGAAGTCTCTCCAGGAGAACAAGCACTAACTCGCTCTCTCTCTATTTTCCCAGACAGCAGCTGAGAACCTGCCGGAACCACAGAGGCACTTCAATAATCCACTGTCACACTGGGAAAGGAGCACAAAGAGCACACAAGCCACCAACCTAAATTCACCACTGAAAGAAATCTTTTGTAAATAAACCACCCTCCGGGGCACTTATATGAGCTCTCACTTGTTGTGTGATTCTTCTCCCCGTGACAATATATATAAATATATATGTATATATATATATATATATATATATATATATATATATATAAAACAGCTACTATATATATATATATATATATATATATATATATATATATATATATACATACAAAAAAACAATCAGTCATAGCAGTTGCATGTTTTGCCAAAATTCTGCCTAATTCCTAAAAATAATTAGAAATTACACTTACAGAAATAAAGGTACAAAAGTAGCCAATATGGCCTCAAAAAAGTAGACGATTGTCCATAAACTGTCCTTATATAGAGTACATCCAATTCACATTTATGCACTTTTAAGGGTCAAATGTGGATCTGTAAGGTATAAACATGTACCCTACTGCCTCAGTGACAACTTTTTGCCTTTGTTTATTAAAGTGAACTATAAAGTATGAATGTAAAGCAGTGGTGAATGCGGTTTCTCGTTCTGCATCTGTCTCAGGATTCTGGCTAATGAATATATGAGCGTCCTGTCCTTGTTTGGAGGAGGTTAAAATGATAATGGGAAGGACCAAGCCTTTTGACCCATTGAGGAGGGTATAAAAACCTCTCATTCCTGATACTCTTCAGCTCATCGTCGTGGTGGAAGAATGGCTCCTAAAAAAGCTGAACCGAAGAAAGAGGCAGCAAAGCCAGCACCCCCTCCTGAACCAGAGAAACCCAAGGAGCCTCAGTTTGACCTTAAAAGCATTAAAGTATGTACATTTATGTTGTTGTTTTTGGCATTGCTATTTTACTAACACCCCAGTTTTAGTCCATCTGAGAGCAGATACAGGACTGTAAAAAACGTTAATTCATAAAATCCAAGTTGAACTAATAATTTTATTTGGGTTTAGTTAAGATGACTTATTTCATTGCAAAAACAATACTTTTTTTCTTATCTCATTGGCAGATTTTTATTTATTGATTTTTGCTTGTTTTAAGGAAAAGCTCACTTTGATATTATTTCTGAAAACAAGACAATATATTTTAACTAATCTAGAAAATGCTTCTTGGTTAAATCATTTTAGATATATGGACTAATAGCAAGAAAACAACTTTATGTAAGATTTACTTAAAGCATTTTTGCATTATCTGCATGCACAAAACATAGTTATTTGAATATTGATATTTCTAAACATTCCTCACTATTTAATCACAGTCAAATGGTTCAAAACTTCCATGAATATTTTTCTTCTGTTGAACACAAAACAAGATATTCTGAATCATTTTTCAGGATGTTTTTTTCCCAACAATTTTTAGAATATCTTCATTTGTACTCTACAGTACAAATGAAAAAACAACAAAAACAACAGATCTGAAACAAGTAATGAGTAATTGATGACAGTTCACCCAAAAATGTAAATTCTATCTCTTTAAATCAAGGTTTATTTTCAGATTAGAAAGACTAATGTTGACTGCAAATCTAATGCAATAGATGTTAATATTTATTTAAGAAAAATAATAACCAACGTGGTTTCCAACCACAAAACGGAAGAAAGAAGAGACTTTCAAGACCTCACTAAGAAATCAGGTGGTCAAATTTGACATATGAGAGATGAATATTAATAAACAAAATCTAAGCTTTTAAAAGTTGTTGCAGCACACAAAAATCACATTTAAAATACAGTTGTCATATTTTGCTATTGTAAATCAATTTTAGATTAATATACTTTGAATTAACTTCTTAGTTATTATTGCACTTTGTTTTGGTTTGTAACAAAAAACCTTCCTGATATTAATGAGGATTAAACCAGTTCAAGAAACCCCATTGAGTAAAAAAGGCCTATTTGGATATTGATTAGTCTTAGTCTAACATTGTTATTTAAGTATGGCACATAAGCTGCCCTGCATGACAAAATGGCTCAAAATCAATAAAATAAGGTTAAAAGGTTTCACACAAAACTTTAGGTTTAAAAGTCCCATCTCCGCTAAGTGCCTGTATGTGAAAACATAAATGTTTAGTCGTATTGATCTGATACCACATCTGCATCTTTAACTAACCTGAGCATCACAGTTGGGGATTCTTGTTGTCAAACACAGCTTTGCATGCAGCTGCCTGCAAAAAAGTACAAAAGTAGTATAAACAAACAGACATTTTTCAGATGAAAACGATAGTGTTCGTTAGTTTAGCATTCCCGCAAGGAGGTCTCTCAGTTATGCAGACTATTTGGTTGGGGTTTTACAGTAATTCCCTCTGGTCTGAGAACACACGTCTGTTATTCTTAGTCTCCCTGAGTGGTGAGCAGCTGACTTTTGTTGAATGACTTTGGAAACCATCTTAAGGCGACTACAAACATCTGTATTTCCATTGTGATTTTCCAAGGTTAACTGTTTCATCATGTTATAAGAATATTGCATAAGGAGAAAGCTCCACTTCAATATTGTTTATAAATAATTAGGATAATCATAACATTATACTGTACATTACATTAAGAGTTTCTTATATAAATGTCTACTACAAGATCTTTTGTTTTTCCTCCCAGGTTGAGTTTACAGCAGACCAGATTGAAGGTAAAGATTTATAAAATGTAAACAAACCTACATTTCATGTATTCAATGCTTTGGCAGATAAGGGGAAGAATGACCACAAAGATGACACTGAACCACAAAATATTTTGTCATTTTATTATTGAAATCAAATACATCTGAATAATAAAAAGGTAAATAAATACATAAGCTTTCCATTGGTCTATGGTTTGTAGGATATAGGACAATATTTGGCTGAGATACTATTTGAAAATCTGTAATCTGAGGGTTCAGAAATAAAAATACTAAGAAAATCAAGTTGCCCAAATTAAACTGTTAGCAATGCACATCACTTTTCAAATATGCAATTGACATTTTTACAATATGAAATGTAATAAACATCTTCATGGAACATGATCTTTACTCAGATTTACAATGGTTTGGCATAAAAGAAAAAAATAATAATTTTGACCCATTTATAATGTTTATGTCAACACAATCTCACGCCATACGTTTTTGATTTAGTGGCTAATTTAAATAGATTTGCAGTCTCATTCATACATTTTAGTACAATATGCTAATCCCACAATGACGGTTTAGGGGTAATGTTTGGTGCCATGACTCCTTTTTAAAATAGTTTAAAAACAGTCATTCTCGATGACTAAACTCTGAATTAGTGTGAATTAGCTGACAAAATGTAAAATAGTAAGATTTCTTCATGAGATCAGGCTGGTTTTTGTCTATCGCCAAAAATATACCCTTTGTTCCAAGGTCACAAATACACTTCTGCAGTTAATTTACTGAACCTCAGACCATCAAAATGATGTGACTTTTTTGAGCATGTATTTTTTTATGTCTTTAATACTCTGCTTAATATAAAAAATATCTATGGATGACCCAAGAGTGAGAAAATAAAGAAATATTTCCATCTTCTTTATTTAATACAATATTTACTGTAAATATCCCCATTTCCACACAGAATTTAAAGAGACCTTCATGCTGTTCGACAGAACGCCAGCAAGTGAAATGAAGATCACTTATGCCCAGTGTGGGGATGTCATGAGAGCACTGGGGCTGAATCCTACAAACGCAGAGGTCCTTAAAGTACTGGGAAAACCCAGACCTGAGGGTGAGAGAAATAAACTGCTTCACAGTACAGAATTAACCATTGATTGTTTGCACTGAAAAAACAAAATGATTCAAAGATGATTCCATGTATTTGCTAATTTCTTTCAAGGTAAGAAGTTGTAAACAATTTATTTGGGTTGAATTTAAACAAACAAACTAAGTTGAACATTTTGAAAAGCAATTTGCTTGTTTAAATTCAACCCATATAGATTGTTTGCAACAGTTTTGCAGAGATAATGTTTTCAGTGTTTTTTTTTAAAGATTTAGGTGCTAATATATACATTTTAGGGCCTAAAATTAAAACACTAATATGGACCTTCAACCTTTATTTCTGAGACTGTTTGTTTTGTTGAACACAAAAGAAGATATTTTGAAAAATGTTGGTATTTGTTTATTTTAACATTTATCCTTTTTTCTCTAGAAATGAACACCAAAATGATTGACTTCGAGACTTTCCTGCCTATGTTCCAACATGTGTCCAGGTCCAAAGATCAGGGCACTTTTGAGGACTTTGTTGAGGGCTTGCGAGTGTTTGATAAGGAAGGAAATGGCACTGTAATGGGCGCTGAACTTCGCCATGTACTTGCAACATTGGGTAAATACAAAGCAGTTCCTCTATGACAGTCTTTCTCAACCACATTCCTGGAGGACCACCAGCTCTGCACATTTTTCATGTCTCCTTAACCAAACACACCTAATTCACATCATCAGCTTATTAGCATAGACATCCAAAACATGCAATTTTGGTGGTGCTCAAGGAATGTGGAGAGAAACAACTACTAACAAACCCAATGCAAAGATCTACTGGAATATAAGCAGCATCCTAAAATCTGTGTGTTTACATGGATATTTATTGAGATTAGAGATGTGTAACGGGTGTTCGAAATCATCGCTCACAGAATATCACATTTCTTTTCTGCAGGTGAAAAGATGACAGAATCAGAAGTTGAACAGCTGATGGCAGGACAGGAAGATGGAAATGGATGTGTCAACTATGAAGGTTTGAACATGAAAAGCTAAAACTCTCCTAAAAATCTCTGAAAGCTTGTACAGTCTGCTATTTACTTCTATATGGTTTCTGTATATAGTAACATTAAAAAGTAGGCTCTTTTTTTTAAATAAATACTTTTATTCCACAAGGATTGATAAAAAGTGATGGGAAAAGTATATTGTCAATTAAAAAAAAAAAAAAAATTGAATAAAATAAAATAAATATTTTTAATAAATATTTCTCTATCGACCAAAGATTTGATTAATTGTCATGGTTTCTAAAAAAAAAAAAGTTAAGCAGCACAATTGGTTTTAATATTAATATAATAATAAATGTTTCTTGAGCAGCATAATGAAATACTTTCCGAAGGATCATATGAGGTAATTGCGGCTACAATTCAGCTATACCGTGCCATCACAAGAATTAATTACATTTTAAATATATTCCTATAAAGATTACTCTGTTTTCAAACAAGTCTTTGGAAAATGAACAGAATATAGTTGTTACATCAAAAAAAATTATGCCATATACAGTAGTTACTGCTGACCTTATTTTTGGGTAGATGATAATCTTAGTCTTTTTATCTTTTTCTCCAACAGCATTTGTTAAACACATCATGGCTGGGTAAACACATAAGGTTAGTGCTGGTTGTGCATCATCAATTCAATGACAATGTCGCATTACAACTGAATACAAATACAAAAGGAAATGTTTAAAAAAGATCTGATTGTCTTCTTACGTTTCTCTTTTTCCATCGCAGGTAGTAATATGGCCCTTTTTTCTCCATTTATCAAGTGCTTCAGCCCAGCTCCCCGCTCTCCAGTGCCCTTGAACTACTTTTCCTGATGAGCTTTTTTCTGGTTTCATTTTTTTAACATGGTGTTGAACAGATTTTATAAAATGCTAAAAGAAACAATCTGATACCTTTTAGCAAACCTTTTCCAAAGAATGTACAAGTGAATAAATTTACTTACATGATACATACAGTACATTTCAGTTCATGTTTACTTAATTTAGTTAAATTTACCTGGGTCAACCTTCACAAAAGTCTTGAATGGAATAGAACTGGTAATAAAGGGTTAGTTCACCCAAAACTGCTAATTCTGTCATCTATTAAACACCATTTACTTGTCACAAACATGTTTGAATTTCTTCACTCTCAAAAAATGAAGGTACAAAAGCTGTCACTAGGGTGGTACTTTTTCAAAATGTACAATTTAGTCATTTTAAGTACTTATATATACATTTAAGGACATTACAAATACCTCTAAAATATTAATATAGACTTTTTAGGTACACTGACATCGTTTCTACCTTTATTTCTAAGAGTGTTTGTTCTGTTAAACACAAAAGAAAAATTTTTTTTTTTTTAAATGACTGCCATAAAATTTGTTTTCCTACTATGGAAGTCGATGGTTTCTGACATTCTTCAAAACATCTTCTTGTGTTTTCAACAGAAAAAAAAGAGTAAATGGGTAATACATTTTTGTTTTGGGGTGAACAATCTCAAATGTACATTTCCTTACCTCTGCTTTAATACAGCTGCAGCCAGATAGCTCTGAATGTGGGGATTTCCATACAAATGCATTACAGCAACAGCTGGAAAAGAAAACACTTTGTATCAAGAGTGAGATGAGAGCATAAGATGAATAATGGGAGGAAATTACCATTACTGTACATGTGTAAAACATTAGTTTGATTTCAGCTAAAGTCATTCAGTAAAACCTTTTAAATAAAGAGTGTACAGCATGAATGCAGCATTAATAATGTAATATGGTACCCTGATGTGATTATTGATGTATATTAGCTCTGAAATCTTCAACCTGGAGAAATAATTCATGAGTGTGACAGCAAACAACAAAAACAACAAGAAAATAATAAGTGTAAGCAGACTCTTCTGATGGAGCTCAAATAAAAAAAGAGACTTAAACTGTTGTCATCTCTTTTTTTAATGAAGCACACAAGATCACCTGTACTTTATTAAATGAACTACAAACTCTCTTTTTTTCCGCAGAAATACCCAATCCACATTTTGCTTGCTGTTATTGTGCAACGGTAGTCTTGACTGTGCTTCAGTTATTAAAGCATTGCTATTCACCAATCAGCAGCAAGGAATAGATATACGTGTAACAGAGGCCAGCTAAGGAAATGCTATGCAGGTAAACCTCACTCCTCTGACCTCTAAAAGTGCTCTAGCAAAAGACACTAGAGGCCATGGTCTTTATAGTCCTTGTTAGAGCAACCAACTCCCATACAAAAATCACCGGTTGGGTGCAGTTGGACCGGTGGGTTACACGTGTGGGGCTCGCCTGAGATAGGAGTGAGGTTTAGGGTAGGTGAGTGTGATGGAGGCCAACTAGCAAAGTGCTGTGCAGGTAACCCTCACTCCTCAGACCTCTAAAGGTATATAGTGACAGACGTTATGGGCCATGGTCTTTAGCTTCCTTGTTACAGCAACTGACACCCATACAAAGAATTGCCGATCCCAGCTCAGACGAGGTTGGGTGCAATCGAACCAGTAGATTACACATGCATTTAATTAGAATGCAACAGTTATGTTTCTAAAAGTAAAAATTCTATTGTAAATGGCTCATTAAACTTAATTTTTTAACCGTGAAACCAATTTGTTCTGATTATTTCAACTCCTTTTTGAAGAAATACGTAGCTTAAAGGAATATTTCACTCTAAAATGAATTTTCTTTGATTATTTATCCACCCTTCACTTGTTTAAAACAAATGTAACTTTCTTTCTTCCGCTGAACACAAAAGAAGACATTTGGAAGAGAGCTGAAAACCTGTAACCATTGACTTATACTGTGTTTGTTTTTCCTACTATGGAAGTCAATGGTTACAAGTTTTCAGAATTCTTCAAAATATTTTTAGTGTTCAATAGAGGAAAGAAACTCATTAAATTTAAAACTACACGTGTGAGTAAATTTTGATTTCTGGGTGAAGTATTCCTTTAATACACTGCAAAAATATTTTATTATTTTAGATTTTTTTTAGATTAGATGTTTCTAGTCAAAATGTAAACAAATTCTTAAATTAAGCAGCATTTGTCTAGACAAGTAATAAAAAAAAACAAGTCACAATTAAGTTTTTCCTTAAGACAAACAAAATAGCCCTCTTATGGGGTGAAAAAAAATTAGATTGTATTGCTTGTATTAATAATTTTACTTTTTTACAGATTTTTTTTTTAATTCTGTACTAAAAACTGTTTAACAAAGAAGATTTTTTTCAACACATTTCTAATCATATTAGTTTTAATAACTCATTTCTAGTAACTGTTTTATTTTCTCTTTGCCATGATGACAGTAAATAATATTTGACTAGATATTTTTCAAAACACTTCTATACAGCTGAAAGGTACATTTAAAGGCTTAACTAGGTTAATTAGGTTAACTAGGCAGGTTAGGGTAATTAGGCAAGTTATTGTATAACAATGGTTTATATGATGGAATAGCTTAAAAGGGGCTAAAAATTTTGACCTTAAAATGTTTTCTAAAAAATTAAAAACCGCTTTTATTCTAGCTGAAATTAAACAAATAAGACTTTCTCCAGAATAAAAAAAATATTATCAGACCTACTGTGAAAATGTCCTTGTAATATTTTTTTAAAATAGTTATTTTTAAAAAGTAAAATAAAAAATTAAAGGGGGGCTAATAATTCTGAATTCAGCTGTATCTGTATGAACTGTTCAAAAATAAATATGTTCCACAATTGTGATAAAAGTGAAACACAAGTAACACCAATATTAAATATATCTCAGCCCTTGATGGTGGGACTGACCAATCAAAATCGGGTATTCCAGAGAAACTATAGAAATGATCCACAACCCTCAGTAAGGTTACAGACAGCTCATCCTCATGGATTAGTAATAGACAAGTGTGTGTTCGCAGCTGACGAGTGTTAACTTACAAATCAGAGCAGCTCTCCATTCAAAGCCTATTGTATTTTCATTGTGTGTCCTTGTGGTTCATGGCAACAGAGATGCTGTCATCTGTCTCTCTTATTGTTGGGCCTTGGGACACAAGCATCTCCTTTGATTTTTCAACACAACGACTCAAAAATAGCACATTAGCCTCAGCTGTGTCCTTGAGGATTGAGAAAGAGCAGGTTATTGTGTTACAGACACATGGAGAGGAAAGACAGACAAAGAAACGCACAATCTGTCAGCAGCAGTACCAGAAGGGTTTCGTCTCAGTCTCAGCCAAAGCTGCTGGATTACTGTGAAGTTTTTTTTTTGTGCTAAATATATGTACAGCCAGAAATAAACTGCTTCTTCCTGTCTCGTTGCCAGGATACCTTTGTAATAACTATTGTACTTACAATGTTATATTCATTTTGTCTTAACACTGTCAAATAGGGCAGCACAATATATCATTTTAGCATCGATATCGCAATGTGTGCATCCGCAATAGTCACATCGCAAAGATATGCAATGTAGTGTCTGAATTACAGCTGAGCAGGAGCTACAGAACTGTATTTAACCACTATATTTATCCGGAATTTAAGTAATTCATCCAAATTTTGACTTATTTGTAGTCCAAAAATATAGAACAAGATTATTTTGCTTACCCCACTGGCCAGGGCTGGAGTGGGACTCCTTTTTCAGCTCTGGAGTTTCAAGCCTTAGACCGGCCCATCAGTTCACGACTGACTAAGTTAAAATAAAGTCATTTCCAAATCAGTTTCTAATGACACTATCACATGTTTCAAGGAAACAGCTGCTTTAGAACTTCAAATGTTTTCCATAAATATGAGAACATTAAAGGATAGCTAAATCTCCAACATTATTCTTTAAAACATCACAATGTCCTTTCCTGCAATATCTGAACATATATTCTGTGCAAAATTCTTTATAGATAATATCCAGTCCTTTGTAATGGTGGTCACACAAAAATATAAAATAAAATATGTACATCTATATAAGTAACCCAAACAGTATCATTTGTCTTAACACAACTGCTCAGGAGAGGCTCGAACTCGGGTCAGCTGCGGTGTCGTAACGCAATGTGCTGACCACTGTTATCCGCAAGACTCTATTAACCACAGTATTACTTTCTATTGATGGCTTAAACTTTTTCTCCTCTTTTTAGATTTTTGATAAAGTTAAGTCAGATTTATCAATGTAGTGGATCATCTGATTTTCATTGAACAGGTGTAATTTTCATTCATATTAGATATTCAAATTCTTATATTCAGTAAGGTGCTGCTGTTTGAGGTCGAATGATAAATATGTCATCATTAACCTGCAGGCTGCATTTTGCTCACGGAGCTGCGAGAAAATACATTTAAAAAAGAATGGAGCTGCTGCAAAATAATGAATAAAAAGAGTAAGGCTATGGTCAAATAAATAAATAAATAAAAAAATAAATAAGTGTGACCTATGAGAGTGCAAGCAGCAAGGGACACTGGACCACCCGGTCAAAAACCAGACCGGTCCAACGGGAATTCTCCCGGTCCTCTCGTTTAGCCAATCCGGGCCTGCCACTGGCAGATTATTTGTTTGTTTTAAGGAAAAATTCTTGATTCTTCTTGAAAACCTTTAGAATTTTTTAACTTACTTCTTCTGAAGGTGAAAACATCAGGAGAACATTCTTCATTTATTCATCCATTAGTTTTTCAAAAATCTGTGTTAGCTGTGAATTTTTGAGTTTTCCATTTTTTTGAGATTACTTTTACTTTACAATTACTTTGTAAAAAAAATAATTTACAAGAAAAATGCTTTGTAAAGACAATTAAATGTGCATTGTGTTTAATTGCTAAATTAGGAGTAAAGACCTTTAATAAAATGTGTAATTTATTTTGTTGTCTGTTCTGTCTCTAATTGAGAAAATTTGCTAGATTAAGTTGAGTGAATTTGATGTTCTGCTAACTTGATATTGTAAGTTAACCTATTAAAACTAAACTTTGTAGTTGGGTCAATTATTTAACTATATTTAAGTTGGGGAAACATAGAGAATTACCGTAAGTCAATACATCTTAACTGAGTAAATGCAACAAGGTAACTTGACTAGGTTAAGTTGTAAAACAAAACAATAATTTTACTTGGTCTAAGATATATTTTTTATTATATTTGGACAAGAAATGAGACAAAGTAAGAAAAGCATTTTTTATTTTATTTTATTTTTTTGCATTGTGATTTTTTATTTTCTTTACCTGAATACTCTGTTAGAGTCCCCAGAGAAACCATCAAATATGCTATTGACGATTTACAAAACTATCCTGTGAAACTATCCTGTGTTTCCATATTTTATTTTACAAAATAAAAATTTTGCAGTATAAGATTTTTCCAATATTGTGTGTAATATACTGTAACCATAATTGATTATTCAATTAAGAGTTTACATTTTTTCCCTCATGACTCTGAGAAGAATGATATATTTAAAGATAAATTTAGCAATTTAATCAGTATAGGCTGATAACAAGTGGTTTCTATAGCATTATTGTGCTGCATAAGCGGTAAAGCATCTAATCTAATGCTAATCTGCATCTAAAAATGAATTAGATAATAAAGGCATTTACATAAAGCAGCAAAATTTCATTGTGTTCAATTCAAACATCACATTCTGATCACAGATGAGGATTTATTGAAAATGCCAGCAGTTGGCAGCAAATGATCGTATTACTAATAGAGTCGTTTATTTAACCAATTAATTCGAATCAATGATTCGTTCAGTTAGATTTGCTACTAAATGTGTTGAATTCATCAGTTGGCGAATGTCATAAGATCACCGTACTCAACACAACTGATACATAACATTACTCGGCTCATTTAATTTTAGACAATTGTCTAATAATGTAGCTACCCGCCGGTTATTAAAACAGTCCATGCTTCCAAATATTGATGCGTTTCATTTATTGAACACCATGAAAACTAAAGGAAAAAGAAACAAACAACCCAAATCTTTTACACAAACCCAATCAAAAGGACATCAAAATAAACAAATAACATACAAGGTTTCATTTTCCGTGTTGGCCTCATAACCAGCAGTAGAATAAGCAGTAGCACCCAACATGTGCCTGCATTGAGATCTCACTATCCTGTCCATACAAACTCTTGCACCTTACATCAATCAAGAAAGATCATGTGACCTCCGACTCAAGCCAACTGGAAACAAAGGAAATTTATAAAGTAAACATAAACCAAATACGCTTTTAAATAATGAAATACAAAAACAATCAACAACCAAAAAAATACAAGCTGACGGATCAGCGTCAGCTACAAATAACACTGCTAAAATAATTCATTTCATTTTATATAAAATAATAATTACATGGTGGAGCTTCTTGAGTTTGTTCAGTAAGGAGTGTTTGGATTGGTTGATTAAAAAAACTCACCACGATTGGCTAAACAGAATATCCTCCAAAAAAGATGTGTACGAATCATGTCCTACCAGAAATGTCTTAAAAATGTGCACACAAATTCAAAGGACTCCATGCTCGTGTGAGCATTTTCAAATGCACATTCAATGGTTTATAAAAACATATAACATAATTCATATATGCATGAAGAAAGTTAACAAAGAACTTCATATAAACATAATTGTGTAAACATTTAAAATGTATGTAGGTTGCTGCATATGTGTGCGCATTTGGGAAATATTTTTGCTTTTTACTTTTAAATTAATGAATTGTTTTTTGAATTGATGAATTGGAGTTGTGGATTTATGAATTGTGTTTTGAGTTTGAAAATTGTGCTGTGCATTTATTAAATTTATGAATGCAAATGTATTATTATTAAGACTGATATGACTCCATAGTGAACTGTCCCTTTACTGACAGAAAAATCTGTTACCTCCTTCCTGAGGGAGACCAGTCACAGTGACAGGTCTGAGACGCCACCTAGTGGCCAAACGTGTTTGTAACAGCCAGAGCTTTTCTCCTGTAAGAACCAATTTAACAGTATCATCATTTAGATCATTAAAGGCTGATGTGTAAAAAAATACATACGGGAAAGTTTCAAATTACAACATAAAAAAAAAAACAGCTGCAACATACATTAGCAGGCCATTAGCTTTCTCTCTCACAGACACAGCAGAACAAAATCTAAGAAAACTGCCTACTCATTCACAAGCGGGCAGGTTGCTGAGCAACTCCCACCCAAAGCCAACCTCAACCAAGCACACGATTGGCTTGCAGAAGATCATATCACACAGCAAGGACACTGAGAGCATCAGGAGCAGCATCTCTCTTCATCATTCAACATTCTACAAATCCTACTGCAGTGTTTTGCATGCGAGATATCACAAGATATCCACAATAAGGAGAAGAAAATACATTTAGGAAATTTGACTTTCTTTTGGGGGAAAATACCAGGTCGTGCTGCGGTGAAAGGACACAGGGACACTTTACTGTTCATGTGAAGGTGTGCAGGTGACAGACTTGGCTTGGTATGTAACTCTAGGGAATATGGATGAATTTGGTGAAGCTGATGGTGCAGTGTTTGTGCTTGAGTGTGTTATCCTATGAATGTTTGTTTAAGATTATGCTGAAGAAATATGCTGTGTGATTATAGAAAGCACGCTTTTTATAAACAAACGCTGTGGGTAAATATAAATTTTTTTTGCATTATGCTATCACTTACTGAAGAAATAATGTTAGAACTTTTTAGTCAACTATAAACTTAATTTAAATACAAATTTAATTTGAGATGGGTTTTTGTTTGTTTGTTTGTTTTATATAGCACATTTAATAGCAACAAATGTTTATTAAAGTGCTTAACAAATCAAAAAACACACAAAATCTATACTTGCATATGTAAACAAAATGAAATACAATCAAATGTAAGATAAGTTAAAGCGATATTAAAAAAAACAACAAGGGAAGACTTTGACCTGAAATACAAAGGCAAACCATTCCACAGACGAGGGGCTGCAACAAAACAAATCCTGTCTCCTTTTGTTTTTAATAGACACTCAGGAACACCCAGCTAAAACTATTGTGCCGATGGCATTTGATCTTAATAAAGTAAGATTGTTTAGCAAATATGCTTGTATGGCCATCTTATATCTTAAATCTAAACTGAGTTTAGGCACTCCTGATTTACAGTAGACGTTTCTAGTCTGTGTTGCATTGATATTTTAATTGAACCACACCAGAGTGTCTGAAAGCAGCCCAAAACTCATTTGGTTTGTTTTTTTGTGAGCACAAAGATTAAATGACAGCTAATTCATTAACTCTACAGACTGCAGCTCTGCACAAGACTTTTGGCCAGTGGAGAAATTAGAATGGTCGTGCCGAACAGAGTCTGGTTCTCTCAAGGTTTTTTTTCTTCACTCTCCTATTGGTAAAGTTTTTTTTCCCTCTCCGCTGTCATCACTGGCTTGCATGGTTCAGGATCTGAAAAGCTACTCATCGATGAATTTGCTCTTCAGTGTTTGGACTCTCAATAATGATTTAAACACACTTAACTGAGCTAAACTGAACTGAACTGAACTTAAACACTAAAAACTGAACTACCCTGATCCAGTTACTATGACCATTTATGTGAAGCTGCTTTGACCTTTTACAGTCATTGGCTTTGACACAAGCTACATTGTAAAAGCACTATACAAATAAAGCTGAATTGAATTGAATTAAGAGAAGTTTCACAAAATAATTTCGAGAGGAGCATGTGGTCTCTCATCTACAATTATTAGTAAGCCAATTAGATTAATCCAAACTCACTACAAGTAACCTGGCTAAAATTAGTCCCTTATCTTCGTTTTCCAAATAAACCCCCATCCACCCCATCTCCCCCTTTCTTCCTTTACCACGGGGAGCTCTTGAGAACTACTTGATCTCGTACTGCCCTTACATGCTCAATCGACCAGATGGGAACCCTGGGCTCAATTATCTTCGAGCTTAGGGTTTTCTCCCGGGACAGCATTCCAAATCTGACAAGTGTAAATGTGCACAGTATAATAACAGCAAAAACTTACAGCCTACATAAGGGATTTTTCCATATATTAAGGTTGCTGAGGTAGTCAATGAAGATGCTGTTCACATACACAGTATAGGCCCTTTTTATATAATTTTTTTTACATTATTTTTAAATAGTACAATTTTTTATAACCTTCGGTGCATCTTCCATTGGTATATATCCACAGTTTTACTACAAATACCATGGTTGGTGTTGCAAAACCATTTAGGATTAGGCTATAGTTGACCATGAAAACCCCAAACTAACTATTGGTAAATCATACCATAGTTTTATCAAAGTAATTGTAGTAAACTTGTGGTTATACAAAGTGAAGTCGGTGCAACCAAGATGTCTTCTAAATTTTACTGTGAAAAAAAATGCTTGATTTTTGCAAGGAGTCATTTTAAATTCATAGAAACATTCTCAAAAGTTTAAAGGTTTGAAACACTTGCTTTTTTGTAGGTGGCTGCCATAAATGAAAACATACTGCTAATCTAATACTGACCGCAACGAAAACATTAGCTGTGTGTGAATAATATCAGTGAAATGTCAGTTCAGTAGCGCACATGTTCTGCTTCATCCTGACATCATTCTCGCTCTCGCTCTCTAGCGCCATCCTCCCTTCGCAGGACACTGAAGGAACTGTCAGGGTTTGCTCACTGGCTGACTGCTGCAGTTGGACAGACAATAACTCAGAGTGCTACAGAGGTAAGTCAAACCGGTTTACAATCTTAAAGATCAACATCTAACAGCGATTCGTCATTAATCATACAATAAGCTATGCCTTTAAGCATCGGCACAGTTTTTACACTTACAATCACTGTATAAGTCTTAGGATGTTAGTAAATCCGACTGTTGGGTGTGTGACTGAGACATAATGGGCCTGATTTTCTTTATAGATTAATGGGGGAAAAGAAAAAAAATGCATGTCATTTCACTGAGATAGCATCGATAAGAAAGTGCACCTGAATCTGCTGGATTTCTTTATGCATTTGCATGAACCGGTACTTATCTCCAAGGATACACTATATTAACGATACACATTTAATTCAAATGAAATAATATTGCATTGCGTCTTTTTTTTCTTTGTTTTGTCCTTCTTTGCATGGCATGCATTAAATGCATGAATCTCGAAGAGGTGTGGGCGAGGAACGCATGCGATGCTTCACGTGCACGCGGTTTGCCGGTGTGGAAAAACCTAGAAGTGTGGAGCATAATGTGGCTCACGCCGGTGTGTTAAGTCAGTCTGTATGAAAGGTGTCATTTTTAAACAAAGGTAGCCTATATTGCAGGTATAACATATTAAAAATCTATATTTTTGTTTTGCTGTCTTTTGCTCTAAAGCCTAATCGGTCTAAAAGCGGTAAGCGGACGTGTCACTGGTCCTCCGGTGTAAAGGGATTTTCGTAGTTTGCTCTCCTCTGAAAATGGTGCTGATGTTGCATGTGAATGTTTGTCATGGTTACACAAATCGCCACTGAATCTGCAAGGTTGCTCTTTATATGTGCATTTAGCCTACTAAACTGAGTTTACAGCACGTCTTTTTGAGAGATTCCCCGTTTCTTTCCTCCCCGTGAGCGTGGTTTATCGAACATGACCTTTGTAACACCACATGGTGCTTTTGTCTGGGCGATTTCGCAAGTACAGTCTTAATGAAGGAGGACAAATATTTTTATAAATGTGCTAATACATACACTTAAAATAAGACTTCACATTTCCAAATGAAAAACAGAAACAACTAATTTAATGCGCTTTCTCATGCAGTATTTCATCTCTTCAGTTTATGTAGCACCATTAAACTACATAAAGGCTATTTCTCCCTTTTCACTATTTTAAATGAGAATGTATAGACTTAATTCTGCATTTTCGAGGCAGCGGACACACCTTGCTCCCCCGCCCTCCCCGTCTCTCTCTCTCTCTTCCTCACACACAGACACACAGCATCACGGCTGGCTGTTGCTCGGCCACGCGCTCATCATCCGCGCCCATTGTTCGCTTCGTAAGTACTGTCTCTCTTTTTGAAAATACCCTTTATGAACGTTGTGCTTTCGGAAATCCTTGACTGTAACGGCTGAGGCGTAACGGTCTAAATGAACGTCTGCATCTTTCTCACTTCCTCCCCCACGCCCATCTCTGCTGAACATGCCTGTCTTCAGCACTGTCGCCTTGGTATGGATAATGTGGGTTTTTATTGTAAAAACATTGATTGGTGATGAAGAAATTACATTTGCGGTTGGTTTTTAGGCTTGGTTTTATCGCGGGAAAAGATGTTGCTCTAGAAAAGTTTGTTTCATTGATATTTAAATGTCGGTTGGTAACGTTATTCTGAAATAACGTTATGTGTGGGTAAACCCGAATGGCTAACTGTTATTACTTTAGTAATTTATAGCCATTAGTGTTTTAAACTATATTAATGTAAAGTGTGTTATATTATCAAAGTATTTCCAACATTTTGTTTATGAATGCTACAGCATACTGCTGTATTAACTATAGAGAACTGATAATCTGTTACATACTGTAGCCTGCTTCGGTTTACAGCACAATGTGGTGTATTGTAGTATAATATACCTTATAGTTGTTGAAAACTACAACATTGGCTCATTTGTTTATATTAGTAGTTGTTATCATAACATCATAATATCATAACTATAGAATTATCAGACAGTCAGGTTAAATTAACAGATTAATTCAAAGTAGCCTACTTTAAGGTTGCTGCTAGAACGGATACAGTTGCAGCCGGAAATTAACGAGAACTAATAATATTATTTATTAAATTTCCAGACAAATTTCAGACAAATTGTTTTTTAGATTTTAGTTAAGGTACTAACTGTATTAATAACATGGTCACAGAGTACAAATGTCTTGTTGGTGTAGCCTCAGTGGGACAACAGAAAAAAAGTAGTATGATATCAGTACCTTGTAGTTAATAGTTAAAGGATGCTCCAATCAGGATTTTTGCAGCCGATATGTAATACCAATTTTCTTTCATGGTGATCGGCCGATACAGAATTCAGATTCTGATGCTTTTAAGCTTTATAATGCATTAAGCACATTTTTTCCTCAAAGTCTGAAAGGAATAAATTAAGTATGCTGCATATAATTCCTTAAACATGTTCCTTACAACCATGTAGGTATGAACATGTCATGGCCAGAAGCAGCTTTACAGAAAACAATTCAATTATTTTATTTCAGCTTAGGCTATGTATAATATACGTGAGCGCTTGTGCGTCTTCCTCTGCTTGTAAACTCAGAAACAAACACCTGCGATTGGTTCATGAGAGTAACAATCAAGTCATGAAATGTGTTTATCAGCCGATACCGTTCGTCAGCCAATCGATTGGAGCATCCCTAGTAATAGTAATAAAAGCAATAATGACTAATAATTTCATTTGCAACTACAATAAGTAACAAATAAATAATTAATAAAAAAAATTTGCATTTAATAAATGCTGCCTTCATGATCAGAATAATTTAATTTAAATTAATGATAATAATAATAATAATAATAATAATAATAATTCCTTACATTTATATAGCACTTTTCTGGACACTCAAAGCGCTTTACACATTGGGGGGAATCTCCTTATCCACTACCAGTGTGCAGCATACACCTGGATGAAGTGAAGGCACTCATATTGCCCCAGACCACACATCACACACCAGCTGATTGGTGGAAAGGAGACAGAGTAATGAAACCAATTACGACATGGGGTTGGTTAGGATGCCATGATGGACAGAGGCCAGTGGGCAAATTTAGCCAGGATGCCGGTGTTAAACCCCTACTCTTTTTTTTGAAGGAGATCCTGGGATTTTTAACGACCACAGAGAGTCGGGACCTCGGTTTAACGTCTCATCCGAAAGACGGATAATTAAATTATTAAATAAATTTAATAATTAAAAAAAATAAAACTCCAAAACTCCAAACTTGACTTTAAACTTGTGAAGTGAACACAGCTACAAAATCCAACGTTCTTTCAAATTCTAAGAGCACTTTTTTTTGTGAAACTTAAGTTAATTCTCAGGTCATAGATTTGTGATGCCACTAGCAATCTATCTGTAAATAAAAGAACAAGAAATAATTTAATAAAATATATATTTTAAGGCTTTTCAAACTGTGCTTAAAGGGACAGTTCACTCCAAAATAAAAATTCTGTCATCATTTACTTACTTGGCTTGTTCATATTTGAAGACATATTAAACAATGTTGGAAGTTGACTTTCATAGTATTTGCTTTCCTACTATGGATGTCAATGGCTACTGGTTTCCAACATTCATCAGTATATATTCTTTTGAGATAATAATAATAATAAAAAAGTTATTCTGGTCTGGAACAGGTCAAGTCTTTTCAGTGTTTCAGAGAATAATGTAAAAGAGTGACAGAAAGGACACAAGTTGGGATGAAGAAGAGGTCATTTCATTGTTTTCAATTCAGAAAAAAAACTTACTAATAAGGGATGTTAACTCAGGGTCTAAAAAGGCACAATATTAATATCAGCTTATGAATACTCAGAATTATTTGTTAACTTAGAATAAATTTGTTAACATTAGCATTCCCTTTATCCTGCATTGCTTTTATGTTTAAATTGCTACCTAAGAATACTACTTTTCTACTGATAGTGGATCCCCACCATTAGACAGAATCAGTGTTTTCTTTCCAGCCCAGAATAATTCGGTTTACCATGGCAATTAAGACCACCCATTGAACATTTGTTAAATCAGATTCAGTCTACAGACCATGCAGTGATGTGTGTGCTACTCCTGTCAGACAACCGCCTGCTACTCGCATCAGTTATCTGCTATTAATCACATAATTTCAGAATTGAGGAGGATGGGCTTGCTTGAGACAACATTTCTTTTTGAATGACCATGAGGAAGGATAGAAATGCCAAGATCATAATATGAGAAGTTCTTGTTGTTCTTAGCTATGTTTCCATCCAAAGATGCAAATTAGAGTAATACCCCGTTAACTAAAAAACAAAGAAAAAAAATGAAAAAAAATGTTGCTTTCTTATAAACTGAACCAAAATATCAAAAAGGCAAATGGATTTTGACGCAGCAGGGAAAGCCAATGTGGTATTTTTTTTCTTTAATGAGCAATTCTATTGTTATGGATGTTCCATTTTTAGAAAAACTCAAAACATACAGAGAAAGTACATGTTACATTATATTGAAACATCTGTTTGTATTTTCCAAAAGAACAAACCACAGAGTTATGGGATCAGAAATATATTAATCTGTAAAGTTTTTTTTATATTTTAAATGTGGAAAACAAACATGCGTTATGGATGTGACCAAAAAAGTCTGTGAGTTTATAGTAGACAACATACTTTGTAGAAGTTCTGTGAATTAAACTGCACAACCCAAAAGAAATAATGCTAATTAAAAAGATAAGAGTCGGCTCACTATAGAATAAACATGATTGATTAGATATAATTTGACATTTTTTGCATTTATGAGGAAAACGCTTTGTTATGGGTGTGACACCTCTGCGTTATAGATGTGACAGATGTGAATTTGCCACTGGTCTGATTTTGGTAAATTAAATATAATTGTTTAAATACAGAACCATTTTTGAGTATTTTTACAGGACTGTAAAATACAAGCCTACACAAAAAAAAAAACAGAAAGGGTTTCGCTATTATAGTGAAAATGTAATTTTTCCATGATGTGGTTGACATTTGCATGGAATTGCTCATATAATAAATTAG